AGAGCGGTTTCTTCGGGACGCTATGCGTGGGCGGCTTTTGTGGCCTAGGATTCATAGATTTTGCAATAAATCGTTCTGGGTAACAATTCTCGACGAGGATCCAAGCGTATCACCGAACACTTACCAGCATGGTTTTACAAAGGAGAAAAGCGATGTCCCCGCAGCTCCATCTTAGAACACCTGATAGAATCCGGACACCAAGCTGCACCCCAAACAAACTTCAAAGTCGTCTACAGAGTAAGAAGTAGTCTTCCAAAAGGTGTACGAATCAGACTTCTTCAAACTGCAGAAGCAATGGCGATTCACTTGCTAAGCCCTGAACTCTGCATACAGAAGAGGTTCGTTCAATCACTAAACTTACAATGGACTTAACCTACATTATTACCTGAAAGGTAAATTCTACCTAATTTTTTCTGTCTCTTCATTGGTATTATTCTGTCTTCTCAATTGTAATATTTTGCATTTTCAACTTTCTTGTCTCTACCCCTACCCGATTTAATTTCTACACCTCACTACCAATTTAATTGACCTGACCAACGCTCAATTTATAGTCATTTATGTTACGTCATCCAACTTAATTGCTCAATTTCATTTCTAATCTAAATGGCATTATTATCTACCCCACTTCTACTTAGTCTCTACCTGTAATTACCTCTGTTGCTAACCTGACCTAAGTTAAAACATTTTAGTCAATTGTATTACGTCATCTAACTTACTAACTCAATCTTAATTTAGTTGCTGTCCAATTAACTTTGTTTCTATATTAGATCATTCTTTTATTACCTGATCAATTATCTAATTTTGACAAACCTCATGTACACACACACACTCAAATAATTATATATAAATGCGATTGTACAGCTATGTGAATGAATTCGCCGAAAAGAGTCTCTTCGCTGAACGTCTTCTCTTTTTCATATGACTAAATGGGGATTTTCAAGATACTTGAAGTTTTGTAGCAGTGTTTATTTTTACAGGATGGGGTTGCTAGCCTCATGCCCAACCTTTCCTCTTTACCAGCATTATTTTTGGCTTAGCGAGGTAAAGGAGTGCATCGGCCATGGATCGAACCCCGGACCATGTGCGTGGTCGGTGAACGTCCTAACCTCTATATATGTTGTATATTAACATACACGAGCGAAAATTGATGATTAGACATTTGAACAAAATCAATATAAGATAAAGTACATTCAGAAATAATAATATTAGTGTTATCATTAAAATACAATCAGATGGGATAAAAGATGTATTTTACAGTAAAATAAATAAGTAACTTGTCAGAATGTTATAATATGAATTGAATACAGTTTAATGTTATTATTCTCCGATATGACTGGTGGTAAGAATATCTTCCATGCATATCTCTGGTATTTGCATTAAGTCATTTCTGTTGCATGTGTTGTGTTGGGTCTAGACTCGATGAACCAGGCAGGATTCATTAATCTATCTCCGTTTCTCTCCACCTATCTATAATAGGATGGGTAAACGTATTCATCATTCCTTGTCGCGCCTTTTAGACTCTAAAATTTTCCATCTATTTATTATTTTTTTCTCTACTTCATTTTTCCTCCACTGAAATTTGTCTACACTTTTCTGAAACAAACTATATTGCACTTTTATGCAAATTCCTACGCTGATAGGTCAGTTGGATATTTATGATTGCTTCGTCGTCCAAGTCCCTGAAACTTATTTGGTTTTGAGTTTGTTCCTTCTAATCCGTACTTAGTTTTTGTATGACTTTGGACCGTAATATCGTCGGCTAACTACCCCTGCAATCATTGTCTTCCTTGTAAACTGCGATGATCCCTGATCTACATCAATCTTACGAAACTATCTGGAATTCCCAGGCGTTAATGTTTTATCCCCTCTATTACATTGTATAACAGGATTATCAGTGCTCAGCTTAGAAGTATAGTGTTAGGTGTAACGAGGGCAGGTCAATTGATGACATGGCTAGGATATGTATTATGCATATTAGATCATCGCCTCCCGCGTCAAGTAATGTTAGCTGACACGTGATTGGGTTAGAAGAGAGCCACAAATGGTTATATCACAAAACATAACATCCATCATAAAAAATCTTTGACCGCTGGTTTGAACGAGCCAGGTAGGAAGGTATAGACTGTCTAGTTGAGGTGAGGTGTTTGAGACGCTAAGAATCAATGACTGGAGGCCACTGGTGATATGGCTCCAAATTGTTTTAAATATGACAGAGAAGATTTGTAGCTCAGGTGGATGACTTTGATGTGGTGGCCTTCTTTGAGCTGATTGGATAGTTAATTTGCTAAGCTTTCATCAACCTACTAGGTGACATCTTCAGCCGATACTTCGATTTGAGTTGAGGTTTCAGATTTCTCCACGAGTTTAATAATCATCTCTCCTGGTGAACCTAACCGTAACTATTTGGGTTGTTTTTGTGTCTTTTCACACCATCTAGGTTACTTGTATTGGGGCTGATTGTTTCTTTGACTTGAACTTTGACCCTTTGTGTGTGCGATGTGTCTATTGATTGATGATTCACTAGAATACCAAGTAGCCTTCTAAAAAATTCTCTAGCATTCTTGTTGTTTCTTCTGTCTAATATTTGAACACTGGTTGTCCCAGTCAAATTGATGTCTGTCGTTGTCTCTATGTAGTGATATGAGTGATGGAATGGATGTCATGTCTTTTGACGACTAGTTTATGATCGTGGATACGAAGACGAATGGGACGTCCACTTTGGCCAATGTAGTGTTTTTCACAGTTGTTACAATTTATTTTGTAGATGATGTTGATTCATCTTCTTTAGCTGTTGAGTCTTTCGGTTGACATAGGGCTAGCTGAGTGAAGTGACTTTGTTGGTTTGTGTACGAGGTCAATTCCTAAAGGTTTTGAAGAGTCTTGTAGTGATTTCTGAGGTATCCTTTATATATGGTAAGGCGATTTCCTTTGTGTTTTCCTTGGGGGCTTCTGGTTTGATAGGTTGTATTGAGGGTATATGTCTTTTGATGAAGTTTCGTGGATATCGATTCTTTTGGAAGACGTCCATGAGATACTTTTCTTCAATTTTCCTTAAGGTGAGAGTGGTACAATGAGTCCAACCAAGAAAATCACTCCACTCAACTCTGTGTCAAATCAAAGACTCAACAGCGAAAGAAGATAAAACCAAACATCATCTACAAAATAAATTTTAAAAACTGTGGAAACACAACATTTGTCAAAGTGGGCAATGTCCTCTTCGTCTTCTTATTTACGAACATAAGCTAGCCGTCAAAAGACATGATATCCACTCCCTCATATCGTCTCACTACATACAGACAACCACGGACATCAATTCACTAGGGACAACCAACGTTCAAATATTAGACAGAGGAAACAACAAGAATGCTAGAGAATTTTAAGAGGGATGCTTGGTATAGAGACGTCTACACTAACCAGTAATGCTTTGATTGGACACAAATTATTAACTAGTATCATGCGTCTAGTTCTTTATATGGTGCAGACTGAATTCTATCGTTAGTCAGCTTAGCATTGTGGCCACCATGCGAGGTGGCTCGCCATCACGATGCACTGTGAATTGTTTTTATTGGATGGTTAAAGACAGTCGGCTGAAAGCCTTGGCTGAACCTAGGTTTCGTGCTTGTTGGCATTTGGCAGCAAGGTCCACAACCATTTAATAACAACAATTCAGGGTGCATGACGATGTCCAGCTACCTAGAATGGTGGCTACATTGCAAGCTTGACTGATGACATAACTCACTCTGCACCACAAAAAAAAATGACTGGACTCATGGTACTAGTTACTAACTAGTGTTCAATCGAAGTATCTGCTACAGTCCTGCTGGAGGTGGTGGTTGGTCGCCAACCTGAATATCTCAATGATAATACCTCTCACTTCAGCACTAGGTGGTGATACGGGTTCGAATCTTAGGAGGGATATGAGTTCCTTGAAGATTGCAGATACTGACTGGTCAGAGTCAGCAAACACGAAACGTAGATTCAATACTTCCAGCTGATTGCCTTCAACCTGTCTGGTGCTCAGGAAGGCTTCGTGTGCTTTTGGTAGTGTTTGCGGTTGTTACTTCTTGGCTGCCCACACCGTGGAAGTTGATTGATTCTTCGGGTACCTGAAACAGAAACAGAGTTAGTGTTGCGTGACCGCAGAGCAGAACCCAGGGGACAACTGCTTGAGACCAGCCGGTCACACACAACCTGTATGAACTGGTTTCTGGGGTTGGTTCCGTATTAGTAAACTCACCGCCGGTTACGGACCACTGTAGGGTAAGTCGGGATGTACAATTTTTGGGGTCGACCTTTTCTAATCCCTTCTCTCCGGAGTGGAGAGACAGCATAGCTGGCTGGCATGCTGGTCATCTGAGGGAAACACCTCACTGCTGTTACATCCCTGTTCCCACGCAGTACGACTTCGCCCTCAGACCCCCAGCATAGTGTAAAAGATTCTTACACGATGCCGGCGGTAACTGCTTTTAGTCTAATCGCTATCCTAACAACCTTCTTGGCATGGTAGGACCTGTAGGAAAATTGGTTCCAGTCAGTGTGGCTTGTTGGGTCAACGCGACGTGCAAGCCCGGCGACCACCACGTCAAGGTAACAGCTATCGGTCGGGATTGCCTTCAACCACCTAACAACAATGAGTTATCTAGTCAAAGAATTGTATGGTTACAACCATGGTTCAATGTTAAGTTGTATTTTATTGGTCAAGAAGATTTGAAAGTAGTATGTTATTTAGCTCATATTTTTATGTTTTATGTAGTAGCCATTGTCATTTTTCATCATCATCATTATTTCTGCATTTGTAATATGTGTGTACATGTAGAGTCGTGGAGTACCTAAAGAGGGAAAGGTAACTAACAAATGTTTGTTTACTTTTTCAAGTTGTTCTTTCGTTATTATTAGTAGTATGCGTCAACAAAAGGTTCTTTAATGTATTGTGTTGTTTGTTTGTGTATTTGTTTCTCTATTGATTTCACCTCAACTTCTACTTTCCTTTACCTAAATAGTCAGAAGTAGAAGAGACATTTAAAAGATTATTGGGTCATAAAGGAGTTGTTGGAGCAATTATCGTCAGCTCAGATGGTAAGTATTATAGTAGTTTATAGTTTAAATGTTGAAATATTCTGTTATTTAATTAATGGTGGCTAGCAGTAAAATCCAGTAGGCTCGCATTTCGTCCCATTTAGGAACTCGTCACACCTAGATGTACCTTCAGTTCCCAGTAAGTAAGTGATGGTATTCTCATTGAGATTTATAGACGACACCCATCTTTTCAAAGGCCAAAGTGCATTGTCCACAGGGTTGAGTCGACTCTAACTAACTTCAACGACTTAGAGATTGACTTTTTGTCAGAGAATAGACTTGTTAACTTGGAATGTGCGGATATTGAAGACACTGATAATATGCAGAGTCTTTTGAATCGTCGAATGTTAGGCATGCGATTCACCCCTAGACCTAGCCAGACTACATAACTCCCAGCTTAAAGATACAGGATAGTGAAGTAGTTGGGCGTGTTGACCACTTCACTTAGTCGAAAATTCTCATCAGTCCGAGTGGAGACTGATTTATGACGAAATCTCAGAACGGATACAGAAGGCTCGTGTGAGATTTGCCAACGTGCATCATCTCTGGTTTAGACGTGATATCCGACTGCCTATCGTTCAATAGACATGCGTGTACTGCACAATAACAGCAGCAGTTCGCTCCGTCCTCCTTTATGGATGTGGTTTAGACATGTCCATTGAAAGTGGAAGGCATGAAAAGAGCCTGGTTAGCTGTATTTGATCACAGGTGTCTGCTTTCTATCTCCCATGACAGCTGGCATAATAGGGTGAGTAATATTGAGGTTAGGAGTCAACTGAGTGTTAGGTAAGTTGGGAAAATCTTTTCATAAGGTTGTGAAGCTACATCGATCGAGATGGTTAAGACAGGTGTCAAGTCGTATGCCCAGCCATCGTCTTCCTCGACGGGTAATGGTAGTTGACACAGAATCAGATTGGAAAAGAGTGAACCAGTGATGATCAAGTAAAAACTTGATATCAGTTCATGAAATCTTTAATAGTTTGTTTGAGTCAGCCACCTAGGTGGATGCAGACTCCCTGACTGGTTGTGGATCCTCGGGATGGTATAAACCAATGAAGGCTGGAGACAATTGGTGATATGGCTCTTCCTTTGTGTGCTTCATGGGTTGTGACAACCCCAACTGCTGTACACTTCTGCGTGAAAAGTTCTGTGTTTAATCCATATTAGTTTGTTTATTAGATGTATCACACAGTGAGTGAAACTGTATTATTTACTGGATGACAAGGTTTCGAACAAAATTTATTCTTCATAATCATGTCAATTATAATCACACAACTTTGAAACTTGAGTTTTATAGTTTTCTCTGTTCTCTCCTGTATGTCGTCGTAGGGGTAGTAGAATTTTCCAAATATCCCGGGGGACAGGTGTTGAATCATTCCTATTACACGTGTTGGTTTGCAGTTGATTCGATAAACAAAGCTTCTGTTATCAATCTCTCCCTCCATCAAGCTTTTACATTAGATTTTACAACTGTCATCTTATCCCATCTCATCCTATTGTACGGTTGTGTGTGATTGCATGTAGTGAGTGCTACAGCTGAACTATTCTCTAGATTTCTTATCTTATTAGGGTCAACCAATCTTCATTTTGCTAGGTTTATATGTTCGGCTAATCTGACTGCGCCTGTTCTACTAGTTTGACCCATCTATGTATTTGACCTGACAATGATTGCAGGCAGGGTATTAGATAAACTAAATTGTTTTGTTTAATGGGCTCCACAGACAGGATCGTTTAACCGACAAAGCTTGTTTCTAATTGAGTTTGTGGGTGGAGGGAGAGATTGATAACAGAAGCTTTGTTTATCGAATCAACTGCGAACCAACACGTGTAATAGGAATGATTCAACACCTGTCCCCCGGGATATTTGGAAAATTCTACTACCCCAACGACGATATACAGGAGAAGACAAAGAAAACTATAAAACTCAAGTTTCAAAGTCGTGTGTGATTATAATTGATGATATGATTATGAACAGTAATAAATCTTGTTCGAAATTGTGTCATCCGGTAAATAATACAGTTTCACTTACTGTGTGATACATCTAATAAACAAACTAGTATGGAATTACTTACTACCACCATATTGCCCAACTTTTACACACATATATTAATGTGTTGAATTCAGTTAGTCACCACGACGGGAGCCACCTGTTGTTCAACGAGTATCAGTCGTTGTTTGGAATTTTCTTTTGGACTGAAATGTTCGGTCCCTTTTAGACTTATCGGATATTAGCAGAGACGCTTCGATGATGTCTGACAGTTGAATTAAAAAATAATAGTCAAAATTATTGTGTTAAGCAGACGAATAGCTGTTGACAATGTGGACGAGAATTTATATATATTTTCAAAATATCGATTCAATCTGTAGCCCTTTACACCGACATAACAAAAAAAACTTATCAATAACATTATTAAATTAATTGACTCAATATTGGAATTTAGCATTAGAAATATACTTCCTGTAGGAATTGTTAGCACAAGCACTGATTATTAGGTCTTCTATACTACAATATTGACTTTTCCAGATAGAAAGACCAAAAGTTCACAATGCATACGTATTATTATTCCTTCCGAGTGGAACATAGGGCGTCATTCTGTCCTCTATAGTCTGTTTTAGTTGACTCAACAACAACAACTGCCCATCTCCTCCATGTCATCCTCAAACCCACTCTCTACTCGCCTTTTCTTATTCGTGTCCCACTCGACGTCCTGCCGCTTGCTGTCACTCAATGGTCTTCTCAGCGTGTATATACTGTCCATCTTCATCCCCTTATGCATATTTTTGCGGACGACAGATTGTTGGTTGTTTTAATTGAATTTTAGATTTTTTCCCCAATCGATTGATTGAACCGAAGTGCTCGGTCTCAAAGTTGACATGTCTGTCTGTCTGTCGGCTTCTTGTGCAGATGCTTCGATGATGTCTGGGCATTTAATTTAAAAGTTAATTGGTGGATAGGGACTAGCAGTGGAATCCACCGGGATGCGCATTTCGTCCTATTAGGGACTCCTGAATGCAGGCACATTCAGATGATGATGATGATGATGAGTCCCAAACAGGACGAAATGCGCGTTATCCTGGTGGATTCCACTGCTAGTCACCATCCACCAATTAGGTTGTTGGTTGGTTGGTTGGTTGGTTGTCAGAGTTCGGTGTCTCCAATCCTTTCCGGCTGGCTATCTGATCTTAATTCCGCCTAATATTCACAGTGATAATTAGAGGGAAAAGAACAAGAAGTTCAGCAAAGACAACTATCTTTTCGGTGATTTAATTTTGGAAAGCTGTACAATCACATTTATATACATTAGTTTACATGGATACAATTATTATTTATTTAATTACCTTTCGCTGCCTCTTCTTATCGATTGATTTGTTACCTAAAGGACCGTTTATAGTTCGACGCTTTTAAGTTTTTAGTACACTACTAGTACACGATTCCAAAACTTTCTTATGTGCCACCTCGTCGTTAGCCATTCGGGTTCTACTTGGGGACTGGCCTTGCACGTTATGTCACTCTGCGTGAGTCCGATTTGTCTCCTCCTTTCCTTCGGTATATTTGTTGGCAATATAGGTTCTCTAAGAATTGAAAACATTTATTTCCCAATACGACTTTAAAACAAGCAACAAAGCAGGTTAATAAAGCAGGATGATATAATGAATTCATCAAATTTCAGTAAAAATACTCGTCAGCTGAATACTCTACATACGGATATACACATACTTTTGAAATTACATTGGGAGATATAAGACTGATAAGCGTGCAAATAAACTACATTGAATTAGTCATACAGAAAGATGGCAGGTGGCAATGTTTTCCAGGTCATCAAAATTTCAAGCGATCAAGTGATTATTTTAGTCCATCAGTTTTACGTATTGGCGGGTGGGTGGGTGAAATTAAGAGGTTAAAAGTCATCAAAACATTTCACTGATAGAGCGATGAAAATTAATTACAGAATTCAAGGTTGGGTTGATTCTTAGGCATTAGCAACAAGTTATTACACAGTCAAGAAATTTGTAAAATAGCCATGATGACTAAGAAGAATTACGTAAAATACAAACAAGTTCATAGCATTAGCTAGAATTAAAAAGATTAACAAGAGGAGGGGAAATTGTTTTTAAAAACTTGATACATATTATGTAGTTGGCCACGGAGCAAAGAAAGGGGCTGTACGGATTTCTTTTGAACACACACACACGCACAGATTTGGCTTGTTCAGATGAATTCCGATTGCCTCTGCTGCATGTAAAAGTCGTACTTGTAAACCATGCGGCGAGAGGTTGGGTGATATACGATAAATAACTTTTAACGCTTTGTTAGAGACAACCTGATATCCAGTATCGACGAGATGAACTGCGTATAACTTTATTCAGACCTTCGCCAAACCAAGATGGAAGGTGTTCAGAAATTCGGCGATGAATTTGCCTGATCGTACGCTGTTATGCAACCAGCTCCTCACGGGCAGTTAAACTGGCAAATACACATGAAAGAGGCGAAATAGGTCAGTCTGTCTTTATTTCTTGAATTAAATATTTGTTGGTTAGGAAGGAATACACAGCATAGCTTAGCTGCGTTGAAAGTCCTTTTGACCTTTAGCCTCTTAAGTTCCCCCACCCACCCACCAATATCCAAAGCTGATGGACTAAAATAACCACTTGATCGGTAAAAAGATTTTGATGTAAAAGAAAACTGTACATTAAGTAGTGTGTTCTCTGGGCTGGAAAGTTGATTTGCGAAGCTTTCATCACCCTACTAGGTGACATCTTCCTTCAGCGCATACTTCAATTCGTTGAAGTGAGCTTTTAGATTTCTCCACGAGTTTATTATATATGAACAAGTCAAAGGAACACCCATGGGATCGCCAGTATCAGGTTTGATTGCAGAAGCAATGATGCAAAGGCTCGAAAACATAATTCTACCAAAGATTTGTATACGTCACTTTGACGACACATTTGTAATAATCAGAAGAAACGAGTTAGATAAAACTCACAACTTAATAAACGACGTCTTCAACGACATCAAATTCACAAGAGAGGAGGAATCCGAGAACAAAATACCATTTTTGGATGTCTTAGTCAAGCGAACAACCACAGGGGAATTAGAAACTCAAGTTTATCGAAAATCAATTCACACAGACCGCATAGTGAATTACAACAACAACAATCCAATAACACACAAAAGGAATTGCATACAAACACTATTCAAGAGGGCCAGCCAGGACTCACTGTAGCACTCCCACCTTAATGAAAATTGAAGAAAGATATCTCATGGACGTCTTTCAAAAGAATCGATATCCACGAAACATCATCAAGAGACATATACCCCCAAGCCAACCTATCAAACCAGAAGCCCCCAAGGAAAACACAAAGAAAATCGCCTTACCATATATAACTCATAACTCTGGTGTCTCCTCATTTACGGATAAATCTTTCGCCTTTTACTAAAGATTTCCGTGGGGAGGCACAATACAATGAGTCTTGTCTCATTTTTTTCAGCTCTGTCTTCGGACGGAGTATTGTACGTCGGTGGCACAGTGGTTAGGACTCTCGCCGACCATGCACATGGTCTGAGGTTCGGTCCCTTGCCGACGCACACCTGATATCTATGGTCGGCCTGCAAAATTTGGGCTACCGATATCCATGCTGAAAATTCCATACTTGTACCAAAAATACAGTGTGGAATCAAGCTGTAAATCAAAAAAAAAATAAAAATAAAATAAATAAATAAAAGGATACCTCAAAAATCACTACAAGACTCTTCAAACCTTTAGGAGTTGACCTCGTACACAAACCAACAAAGTCACTTCACTCAACTCTGTGTCAGCCAAAAGACTCAACAACGAAAGAAGACAAAGCCAGCATCATCTACAAAATAAATTGTAACAACTGCGAAAAACACTACATTGGCCAAAGTCGTTGTCCCATTCGTCTTCGTATCCACGATCATAAACTAGTCGTCAAAAGACATGACATCCACTCCATCACTCATATCATTACATAGAGACAACGACGGACATCAATTTGACTGGGACAACCAGTGTTCAAATATTAGACAGAAGAAACAACAAGAATGCTAGAGAATTTTTTAGAAGGCTACTTGGTATTCTAGTGAATCATCAATCAATAGACACATCGCACACACAAAGGGTCAAAGTTCAAGTCAAGCAAACAATCAGCCCCAATACAAGTAACCTAGAAGGTGTGAAAAGACACAAAAACAACCAAATAGTTACGGTTAGGTTCACCAGGAGAGATGATTATTAAACTCGTGGAGAAATCTGAAACCTCAACTCAAATTGAAGTATCGGCTGAAAATGTCACCTAGTAGGTTGATGAAAGCTTGACAAATCAACTATCCAGCTCAGAGAACACAACCACAGCAAAGCATCCACCTGAGCTAAAAATCTTCTCTATAATATTAAGTAGTATAGAGCCAGTCGGTGATGAGGAACTAATTGAGAAGAAATGCATATTTCTTCACTCGATTTGTTGTCTTTTTTCCCTTTTAAAACAAGTTGTCTTGGCCAATGCAACGCCACATATTACAAAATCATAAAACCCTGTCAGTATTAAGCTCAACCTATCTGCCTAAACAATTCACATCATCTACAAAACTTAAGTATTTCTTCTTTTCTTCTAACAAAACCTTATTTATTTATTTAATCTATTTATTTATTTATTTTAGGTATTGCTGTCAGATCATCTATGGATAATAGTACTACTAATCACTATTGTGGTCTTATGCAGCAATTAATCGCTAAGTCTCGATCTGCTGTACGTGATCTAGATCCATCGAATGATTTAACATTTCTACGCATTCGAAGTGTACGACATGAAATTATGGTAGCACCAGGTATAAATCTTTGTTGCTCTTTGACATCTATGTTATTTATTATCATTATTTTGTTTGTTATATACTACTGATTGGTAGAAATGAGTAGTCTGATACCCACTCACATATATCAACTAGTAGTGTTTGCTAGCCAACCAATCAGATTATGAAAATGATCTAAATACCATTGGATGGTCGTTTCACTCACAGTTCGGTCCGAACTCATCACTGTTGGAGCTAGGTTGACTCTCAACTGCTAGATGAATATAAGGACAAATAGTTCAACGAAGAGTCTCTTTTCGCCGACGAATTCATTCACTTAGCTATATAATTGCAATTATATTAGCTTATCTAACACCCTGCTGGTATGGCTGTCAGCCGAAATACATAGGTGAAAGCAGTAGAACGGTGTCAGTCAGACTAGTGGAGCACAAAATCCTATCATACTCTAGATTAGTTGACTCGAATAAAATATAAGAAATCCGGAGAATAGTTCAGCAATAGCACTACTCACTACATACAATTACACACAACCATACAATAAGATGACAGTTTTAAAATCTAATGTAAAAGCTTGATGGAGGGAGAGATTGATAACAGAAGCTTTGTTTATCGAATCAACTGCAAACCAACACGTGTAATAGGAATGATTCAACACCTATCCCCCGGGATATTTGGAAAATTCTACTACCCCTACGAAGGCAAATAGCAGAGGACAAAGAACTATAAAATTCAAATTTCAAAGTCGTGTGATTATAACTGGTGATATGATTATGAATAATAAATTTTGAACCTTTGGGGATAACCGTTGCTTTTCAACACCTTTTCGAGAATCGTAAATTCTTCCTCTAGTTTGTCTACAGAGCATATTCTACTCGCCCTATAATACAGAGTCTTGACTAATCCACGTTCAAAGCTATTTGGACAAAAACTATTAAAATGTAAGTATTGTCCATTCCATGTCAGCTTTCGGTAAATTGACCTCTGAAGACTACCATTTTCTAGGCGCAATGCATGCCAATGTCAAGTAGAGAAATGGAACTTTCCATCATTTTCATGTTCCATAATAAATTCAATATTTCTATGTGCGTTGTTGAATAGTCTGAGTAGGTAGGAAGCATGAGTTTCATTGTTCCATACTACAGATGAGTCATCGACATATTTGGGCAATAGGAAGTTGTTGTTCGTCGATTGCATCATGAAATAAATTTGCTAGTATGTTAAAACTTTATTGTACATACACCTCATAATTTATTTAGGCTTGTAAGCAGCTAATCAGTGTCTGTTGGCTAATGGGCTACAGATTCAACATCACCTGTCATGATCATTGATAGTACTCCGTACTATGATGTGTTTCTGTCGTAGATGAGTAAGTAGCTTAGTGAATGGAGCCATTGCATAATGGTTTAGTCTTAGTTGAAGGACCCTGAAAGCCCATTATGGATAAGGTTTTATTTTGATGAATCACACAGTGTTTGTTATACAGTAATGTTAACTGATGCGACCACGTTTCGAGCACAAACTATTGCTACTGCTCATAATCATATCAAGTCACTACTCACACAACTTTTTTCTTTCATTTACATACATGTGTGGAATCGATTAGATATTGGAATAAAAAATCAATATAACATAAAGTACATTGGGATATAATAATAATAATAATAATAATAATAATAATAATAATAATAATATGAGTGTTATTCACCAATTACAATCAAATGGGATATAAAACGAGCGTTTTCTTTTTTTTCGTCATAATAAGTAACTTATTAGAATGTTGTGATGTGCTTGCATTGAAATAGAATTTTGAGATTATTTATTATCCTCCTCTGATTTGACTGACTGGCGGTAATAATATCTTCGATATCTCTGGTATTTACACTCAGTCATTTCTGTTGCATATGTTGGGTGTAGACTCAATGAACCAGGCAGGATTCAGTAATCAATCCCTGTTTCTCTCTCCACCTATCTAGATTACTTTTTAGAATTTTGACTCTGCTACTGATATGATTCTACTAACTCCCAGTATTTCAGATGTCTATGATTAATATTATGTTACGTAATTATAAAACAAAATGAAACTAATGATGATAACATAAATAAGAGAGAATATAAGGCATCTACAGTTATACCATATAATGAGGGGACATTCGTGACCCTCCATACATAAGATTCTTAATAAAGCAGGAATTAGAGTGGCATTCAAACCTACAAACTCACTCAGAGACAAGCTCTGTAGGCTAAAAGAAACGTTGGACCCTGCAATGACTGTGAGTTAAGTCAACTATATAGTTTAAACTAGTAGATCGGGGGTACTCAGATTGTCGGAGCATAAGAATTTAGTGGCTAAGGTAAGAATGGTTGACCCCGAGAAGATGAGTAATTTAGAAAAAAGCTCAGCAGTTGCACTACATGCATTAACACACAATCACACAGTAGGGTGGGAGAGGGTTAAAATTCTAAAAAGTTATATAGGTAGTGATATGTATCCACATATATATATTTATGTGTGTGTGTGCATGTTGGTCTCTCTTTCGGTTTGCTCGGTTAGTCTGTGACCACTTCACTTGTATGGACTTGTCTCCTTTAATAATGTGTATTCTCCTTATATTATATTATATATAATATGAGTGTTTGTTGACAGTCCGTTGCTTGGTGACATATATCCATATATGTTTGTTCACATGTCTGCTATATTCGCTATGTATAATTGGATCGACACTCCATTATAATTAGCCATTCATGTTAAGACTGTCTAATGATTTTTCCCACGCTTGTCTGAATTATTTATATATATTCGCATTCACAATTTGTGTGAACTACTTTACTTTACTTTACAACTACTTGACTTACTTACCACTTTGGTGTGAGACCATTTATTTTCGTCTCCTTGTGTTTGGACAATAGAAGTATCATCGCAAACCTAGTGGTCTTCTGATTTCCGCCTTCTCGCGTCAGGACTATTAGTTTCTCGACCAGTCCATAACAATAATTCAGCGACGAGTACATAACAATTTGGCGACGGGGAAAAACTACTATTAACCACTCAGCAGCAGCAACATAACAATTTACTATGGATTATTCTAAATTGGAATTATTGTTTGAACAACAATTGAAATTAATGGAAATGTTCGTCAACCAACAGACTGGTCCAGCTTCACCTTCAAGCAATCCCAATCATACCATGCTACCATCTGTCGACGGCATTGTGAACAGTATTTCACAGTTCAATTATGACCCAGAGGCTAATGTCACTTTTGACACATGGTATCAACGTTATGAGGATTTATTCACTGTTGATCTCGCCTCACAAGACGATGCCTGGAAGGTGCGAGTTTTGCTACGTAAATTGGGTCCGGCAGAATATGAACGGTACTGCAACCTAATTTTACCACAGAAACCACGTGACAATTGTTTCGATGATACAATAAAGTTGCTGCGTGAACATTTCGGAGACCACTCCTCATTATTCAGTATACGTTATCGTTGCCTCAAGCTGGCAATGAATGAAAATGATGATTTTCTTACTCACGTTGGCACAGTCAACCGAGAATGTGAGAGATTTCGACTCAGGTCCTTAACAGATGATCAGTTCAAAGCCTTGATTCTCATATGCAGTCTCCAATCTCCTCGTTTCACAGATATCCGAACTCGACTGCTCAATCAGCTAGAACAAAATCCCAAGTTAACATTACATGACATAGCTGATGAATATCAACGGCTGATTAATCTGCAGAAAGACACACACCTGGTCGAATCAACACCTTCGAGAAGCTCTGATATTCGTGCATTACGAAAGAGCAAAAATCTCTCATCATCTACTCCTGACCCACCTTCTCTTAATGTCCCGCGGAAATCTATACATACTCGTCCAACTTCACAAAATACTGCAAAGAAGACCCCTCCATCACCATGCTGGCATTGTGGCGCGTGGCACTTTGTAAAGTCTTGCCCATACAAAAATCATCGTTGCAGCAAGTGCAAAATCATCGGTCATAAAAATGGTTTTTGTCAGCCACGCCAACTCAGATATCATAATCCAGCAAAAGCTCAACAAAATGTCGGTCCTAAATCTCCAAAAAGATCACTGAGTCTACGTGCAACCCGTCAAGTCACAACACCAGCTATGCGGAAATATCTTGATCTTCAGATGAATGGTCATGATACTCGTCTGCAGCTAGATACTGCCTCTGATATTACTGTTATATCAGAGAAACTTTGGAATTATATTGGCAGACCACCTATCACCAATACTTCCCAGTCTCTTGTCAGCGCCTGTGGTGGGCGGCTCAAACTAATTGGTGAACTCAAATGTTCTGTTTCCTTCCGCAATACCAAATTCACAGGAATTTGTTACGTTACCAAGAATGATTTAAATGTTTTGGGACTTGATTGGTTCGATCGTTTGCATCTGGCTGATGTCCCACTAAATTCTCTACGCAATACAGTGAAGAAGCATAAAATGCTAGACAATTCCGGACGGAGCCGAAGCCGCAAACCCAACAATCAGACGAAACGACAGGCGTCAACAACAAGCCCAAAGGTCCCAGATAAACCCCCAGGTAAACATCCTACTAATCATCCATCTTCTCAAAAGGGGAGGTGATATGTATCCACATATATATATTTATGTGTGTGTGTGCATGTTGGTCTCTCTTTCTGTTTGCTCGGTTAGTCTGTGACCACTTCACTTGTATGGACTTGTCTCCTTTAATAATGTGTATTCTCCTTATATTATATTATATATAATATGAGTGTTTGTTGACAGTCCGTTGCTTGGTGACATATATCCATATATGTTTGTTGGCATGTCTGCTATATTCGCTATGTATAATTGGATCGACACTCCATTATAATTAGCCATTCATGTTAAGACTGTCTAATGATTTTTCCCACGCTTGTCTGAATTATTTATATATATTCGCATTCACAATTTGTGTGAACTACTTTACTTTACTTTACAACTACTTGACTTACTTACCACTTTGGTGTGAGACCATTTATTTTCGTCTCCTTGTGTTTGGACAATAGAAGTATCATCGCAAACCTAGTGGTCTTCTGATTTCCGCCTTCTCGCGTCAGGACTATTAGTTTCTCGACCAGTCCATAACAATAATTCAGCGACGAGTACATAACAATTTGGCGACGGGGAAACTAGTACATAACAGGTAGGTGGAGAGAGAGATGAATCCTTGTTCATCGAGTCTACAACAGAAATGATTCAATGCAAATACCAGAAATATGGAAGATATTATTACCACCAGTCAGTCAGTCAGTCAAATCAGAAGAGGATAATAAATAATCTCGAAATTCTATTTCAGTATACATACATTCTAACAAGTTACTTATTTATTTTGACTATAAAATACACCCATATTATTATTATTATTTCTGAATGTACATTATCCTATATTGATCTTTATTCCAATGTCTAATCATCAACTCCACACATGTATATAAATGAAGGAAAAGAGTTGTGTGAGTAGTCCCCTGATATGATTATGAGCAGTGATAAATTGTTCTCGAAACGTGGTCGCATCAGTTAATATTACTGTATAACAAACACTGTGTGACACTTTATCAAAATAAAATCTTATCCATAATGGAGTTATACTCTACCACCACAGTGGCGAAGTTTTATACTTATATCGACCCTGAAACCTGTTAAGATGATTGGCCATGTGGTTGATGAATTAAGAACTATACTGAACATAAATATTATTATTATTATTATATTCACTCTCTGTGTTTTTCAAGTATTACCTTAATAAAGTGAAGGAAGTAACCTCTTTCAAATTTCTCTCGTCGATGGTGATTGATGCTGGTTGTTGTTGTTGTTGCTGTCGGTTGGTTGGCTATCTCTATCACCTACCTCTGTCTTCTGTATGTTCACTTGAAGTCCTGTATTCTCTGCCAACTTATTTTTGTTTTCACCTGTATGTCTGCGAATTTATTTGACACTGGACATAAATCAAATCATTGGCGAAATCCACATCTTCTAAAGTCTTCTTCATCAGTGGTCCAACTTGTTCCTGTCTTCTTGCCCCTCCCTTTCCCACAGTCTGTCACATAATCTAGTTCACTGTAATTAGGCAATAGACAATCTTTTCTAACTCCTTTCTTCACTTTTAAAGTCTTCGTTGAGTTTTCCTTTTTGAATCACCTAATGTTGGCAGTATAGCTGTTGAATGAAGTTCATAAAGGTTTATGGCACTGCACTCCATAATCTTGAAGTATTTTCCAAATTACTCCGCTGTCAACATTTTCGAAGTCGATAAAGTTGAGGGAGAGAGGTTTGACTGTCTTTCTATCCTGTGTTTTATAATTGAGAAAAGAGAAAGATTGAGCGAGCGAAGAAATATTTACTTTTCAATTAGATCTTCATCTCTGGCTCTACTGTAATATATTATCCGTGGCATTTTTATTACAATACCCAACAGTTTACCAATCATCAAGTGGCTGGCACTGATATGTTTGTTAACAATAATTAAACAGTGTCAAAATGTCAATGCGAAGGGTGATAATTAACGAAGAAAATCCATACACATAATTGAAAGGTAGAAATAGTTGCAATAAATTAATTTTGCAAAGATAACACATAATTAAAGATGGAGTGGTCAAAATAAATAAAAAACAAAATAAAATAATTTGGACAATTATAATTTTTTATAGTTGTTAAAGGTTTAGGGGGAGGTGGGCGAAGTAGTCCTGTTTATGCATTCTTGTAACGATTGCCACGGTAAGGAAAGTGGCTGTAAAAAATTTTTCTGAATACATAGGCATGGCTTCTTCAGGTGAATTCCGATTGCTTCAGCTGTCTGTAAAAGATGAACTCGCACAGCAAAATTAAGGTTAGTCGGAATGCGATAAATAATTTTAAATGCAGTATTAACGTCAACCTTATACTCAGTTACTATCTACAAGGTGTGCTAAAATAGAGCTACGAATAGATCATGTTTGTCCCTTGCTTAACCATGTTGGATGATGTTTGGAAATACGATGATGAACCTGCCTAATTGTACGCCCAATGTAGCTGGCTGTGCAGCTGCAGTCAAATTGGTAGATACACATAGAAGAGGCGAATTTAGGTAATTTACCCTTATTTTTCGAACATAGAATAGGGGTGGTTGTGAAGAGACAACGTACCTGTGCTGCATAATAAGCTCTTTTAACTGCATTCTTCAGGCGCTGTGTTTTTGTTTCGCTGATGTTGTCACCAAGGAACTGCAGTTTCATTAACATTGGTTTTTTTAGGAACTGTTGCCATACTGACTCTCCTAGGTTCTAAATTCATATTTTTCTCAATAAACTTATCTGGATAACCATTTTTTCTAAGTAATTCTCTAATAATCTTTAGCTCCTCATTGAGGCAGTCGTCTGAACAGATTAACCTACCTCTATGAACCCGATACTTTACCATGTTACATTTATATTTCATAGGCACAAAACTCAAAATATGACTGTACTGACCTGTTGTTGTAGGTTTCCTGTACACACTCCTTCTTAGTGTGCCATCTTCTTTCCTTGCCATGAAGACGTCTAGGAATGAGATACTGTCATTACTTTCTTTCTCTATGGTAAAGTTTATTGCTGAATGGGCATCATTAAACTTGTCAAGGATGTTCATTGCATCATTGGGCATTTCGTCCACGTTTTCTGAATTTGTCAGCCGGATGTGCTTGCATTCCCCAGTGAATGATGATGGATTCACTGCTGTTCAAACCCAGTACTCATAGTTTCAACGGGAAATTTCAAATTGAATTAAATGATAACTGATACCCTTTGCACAAAAGGTACTGACTCTCGTAGTTCAAGTGGTCTTGTCGATAACGCCTTAGCGTTTGAAACGATGGGTTCCAGGCCCAGTGAGAACACCATCACCCACTGGGAAATACAGGTGCATCCAGTTGACGAGTATCGAATAAAACGAAGTGCCAGTCCCCATCCACGAAAACGACTGCAGTTTAAATCATAAGACATCATCGAAACATCCACACAAGGATCCATCGTGTCAAAAAAGGCATGATTCCATGCTAGTTTTTGCTGAGTCCCAAATCTTCCGTCTTTTTGGTAGGTAATTGAACAAAAGGTACCTTTCCTTTCTTTCAGTCAGACATTTTGTAACAGTTGTGTGCGAAGACCTGGCGTGCAATGTGTGTCACTCAACACAAGTAAATTGTTAAGCACTTGTGTATTTTTATCCCTTATAATCTAGAACACCATTATTATCGTTATCATCATCATCGCCATCATCATATTACGTCATTAATCCCACTCATTAATGATTTCCCCCCCCTTTTTTTATTTATTTAGATCGTGATTACAGTCTGATTGTGATACAAGAAACTGGAGTGGAGTAGGAAGCATAGGAGAACGACACCACACTACTACTCATCTAATTGTGTTTTTATTATTATTACTATTATGATTTCACTGGGTTTCAACTCCCTTTTATTTCATATGGTGTCCTAGATTGTTTGTTTCGTTTTGTTTTATCCTTTTCATCAAATGCAAATATTACACCCTAATTTATTGGATACCAGTAAGTGTAACACAACACAAAATATGGAGACTAACACTTTATGGTTTTCAGTGCACACTTGTCCTTCTTTTTTATTTCAACATTCTAACATTTTAACAGTTTGTATGTGTGAGTGTTTGTTTGTTTGTTTGTTTGTGTTTTCAAGTGGGGTTTTTCTGTTATTTTTGTCTTCTTTTAGGGGTGTGAGTGTGTGCGTGCGTGTGGAGTTGACTCTATAATATTCTTTGACTGGGTAAAATTTAAAAATAATAAATAGTTTTTTAAAAGAAAGTTGGCTTTCGTTTTCGATTACACAATAAACAATACTTGTGAATACCAATGAGACGCTCACTAGCGACTGGCTCTATTCAGGCTCCAGGTAGTAGTCACCTGGGCTGGTTCCAGTGGGAAGTCGTGACTAGTAGGGTGCAGCAGGTCGGATGTGAGGACAAATACTCACCACCGATGACATTGGCTAGCGGTTTCGCTATATCGTGAATTGGCAGAAGTTAGAGTTCATGCACTGACTGGCCATTGGATCGGGTCCCAGTCAGTGGCTTAATGGTTTACGAGCTCGCTAGCCAGCCTTGTAACCAGAAGGTCCTGGGTTCGAACCCCCACAGTGTGGGGGTGCGTACTGACTGGTGAAGAGTCCCAAAATGGGACGTAGGAAACAGCTCCCACCAGTACTCCCAGGTGGGTTTTCCAATGGTTCTCTTACCAGTGTCAGCTCATGATGAAATCCTGTTACCAATCAACCAAATTCCTACAAACCAATACTTGTTTACACAATGAAGTTCGTTTGAAAGGAGATGAGTATTTCAAAGGTAACATTAATAGAAAGTATTTTGAAGTCTGTTGGTTAATGTTGACTAGCAATGGAATCTACGATGGACTCGTACGTAAGCTAACTGGATGCACCTGCACATTCCCCATTAAGGCTTGAACTCACTGGTCATAGTTTTAAACGCCAAAGCGTTATCCACTAGACCACTTTTTACGAAATTTTTTTTATGTGTTTGTGTCCTCTGAGCTGGCTGGATGAGTTAATTTGTGAAGTTTTCATTGTCCTGCTAGGCGACATCTTCTTTCAGCGCATACTTCGATTTGAATTGAAGTGAGTTTATTAATCATCTCTACTGGCGGGTGACCTTGAACGCGACTCGTTGTTTTCGTGTGTTTCCCCACCGCCCAGGCTACTTGTATTGGAAGTGGTTGTTTGCTTGGCTTGAACTTTGACCATTTGTGTTTGTGAGGTTGATAAATTTTGTCTATCTCGATGTGTCTATTGATTGATGATTCACTGAAATGCCAAGGTTCTAAAAATTCTCTAGCATTCTTGTTGTTTTCTCTGTCTAATATTTGAACGTTGTCCCATCAGATAGATATTCGTGGCTGTCTGTATGCAGTGAGGCGATATGAGTGAGGGAGTGGATGTCATGTCCCTTGACGGCTAGTTTATGTTCGTGGATACGAAGACGAATGGGACGTCCACTTTGGTCAATGTAGTGTTTTTCGCACTTGTTACAATTTATTTTGTAGATGATGTTGATTTTATCTTCTTCCGCTGTTGAGTCTTTCGGTTGACATAGGGCTAGCTGAGTGAAGTGACTTTGTTGGTTTGTGTACGACGTCAATTCCTAAAGGTTTGAAGAGTCTTGCAGTGATTGTTGAGATATCCTTTATATATGGTAAGGCGATTTTCTTTGTGTTTTCCTTGGGGGCTTTTGGTTTGATAGGTTGAATTGAGGGTATATGTCTCTTGATGAAGTTTCGTGGATATCGATTCTTTTGGAAGACGTCCATGAGATATCTTTCTTCAATTTTCATTAAGGCGGAAGTGCTGCAATGAGTTCTGGCTCTCTTGTGTAGTGTTTGTATGCAATTCCTTTTGTGTGTTATTGGATTGTACGAAAGTGCACCGCTGAGCTTGATCTATTGAAGTCGTCAAAGTGTTCATGAATAGAAGATATAACAACACTGATTATATGTACCTCAATAATCCATGAATGTAGTCTGATCTAAAAGGGTATATCTTCATTTCAGTAAGTATATTGCATACCGAGGGAAACATATATAGGGCTTTAGCAAAACATTCCCATTGCACTCTATTCTCTCCTATTACTTTCGACTGTCTTCAAGACTACTTTCCTCTCTAAGTGCCTGACTTGTAATGTTGCTTGAATGTCTTCTCGGCGTATATACAATCTATCTGCATTTTTCTTTTAGGATATTTGTTGAGTAAGGTGATTTAGCCAACTAATTTATTGATCACAACTAATACTTGATTGAAAACAAAACACATAGTTCGACGAATTAATTTTCTTAGCTGTACAATCGCTAATATATATGTTATTTTGTATTCATGTGAATACTAAGTTTGTCAAACACGATACAATTGGTTATAGTTATTTAAACTAAACAGGTTAAGATTGGTAATTGGAGTTACGTAACACGAAATCAGTCAAGAAAATTAAATGTTAATGAAATTAGGGTAGTAACAAAGGTGATGAGTTGTCACAAACAGTTGTTAAAGGAAGTTATGCAATAATATGAATAGTTTGATGAGTGAGTTTTACTCAGGATGCACACAGAAAGAGAGTAGATAATACGAAATTACGTAAGAGTTCTAAATGAATACAAGAATTATGAGCAAATAAAGAACAGGTAAAGAAACAAAATTAGGTCACCAAAGTAAAAATTAAAAAAAAAAAACTCAAATCAAAACACTGTTACCATGACAGTAGAAGTGGTTGAGTAATCTTCTTTTGTATGCACAGCTCCGGTTTTTCTATTTGAATGACCTCCAGCGATACAAAGGAGACGAAACCGTATTGCCTTTGATAGGTTATTCTTGACTCTGTAGATAACTTTGAAGCAGGAGGCGTTTGTTGAAATGGAATGATCAATGTTGACCAGGTGTTCGATTATTGCACCATTAATACCTTTTTGCAACCATGCTGGCTAGTGTTCTTGAATCCTCTTGGACAGGGTGCGCGTCGAACGACCGATGTACCTTGCTCCACAGCAGCAGGTGAGCTAATGTATGCACATAGAAATGGTCAGATGCGGGATCTTGTCCTTGAGGCTTCTGCAGATCAGTGGGCGACTACTGGAGAACACTATTCTTAGCGTTGCTGCAAAGAATGTTCTTCTCAGAGATGATGTGATCCTTCTCTTGAGAATATCGCTTGCTAAATCTCCCTTGAAATCCAAGTTCATGTAGAGTTTCTTTTTGGGCGCAAGTGAAGTTTCGTTTCTCCGAATTCTTAGTTTGATATTTTTGTCAGAGTCACCACTGAGCGTCGGTGGCACAGTGGTTAGGACTCTCGCCGACCATGCACATGGCCCGGGGTTCGAGCCCACGCCGACGCACACCTGATATCTACGGTCGGCCTGTGAATTTTGGACTACCGATATCCATGCTGAAAATTCCACACTTGTCCGAAAAATACGGTGAGGAATCAAGCTGTAATCAAAAATAAGAATAGATTGACATATCTCAATTAATACTTAGAATTAGATAATTAGGATAATTATTATTCCCTTGGGTTTCAACAGCACATCTCCATTTTGGTCTGTTCTCTACAGTCCCCTTTAGCGCTTCTGTGCAATTGGGCATTACCTTCCATCTCTTCCTCAAACGATCTTTTGCATGTTACCCAACTCACGGTTTCCTATTCAGGTTCCACTCTATGGTTTGTTTATCACACCATGTCACTCAGCAGTCTTCTCGGTGTGTGTCCAGTCTATCTCCATTTACTTCTATGTGCCTACTGAACAAAAGCTCCTTGGTCAGCTTATTGCTTCCTGACCATCTGATCTTCAGTGGGGAACGAAAGCAGCTGTGGATAAAATTCTCCAGTAACCTCTTAGAAACGCTTCTGGTGATACGCGTGCCAAGTCTGTGGACCATATCGAAGCATTGATTTGACTGTAGTGTTGGAGATCAAAATCTTGTTCTTTAAGACGATTTCAAATTGATGAATGTCTGTCTTGCTTTTCCTATCCTGCCTCTGTCAAATTCGTCTGTGCTGTATGTTACTGAAACAATGCTGCCCAGGAGGATATAATATAACCATATGGCAGTGGTATCAGACAACAGATGGTCGTGTTTTTTCAGGTGTCTATATTGCCGGTGAAGAATGAAATATGTTGTAATCAGTTTACAGGTAACTTCCTTTCAAAATCGCAACTCCTGTCGATAGTGTCACTTCAGGTTTGTGGGAGAACCACAGCTGCAGAAACCAAAAATTCCTCATTCTCACAGATTCGGCAAAGCAAAGTCATGAGAAATGGGTAGTTGTACTTTTTTTATTAAATTTTCAATACGTTGCGAGAATTACTCAGTTTAACACAGGAGTGCGACGGAAAATTTAAACCACATCTAGAGAAGATAAGAGGTTTACCCATGCCACAGTTGTGTTGAGTACGTAACAATGTGATTGTACACTTTTTAGGTACTTGTATAAATTCGAGATATTGTACATAATTTTTGTTTAAATCGCTTCTTGTTGAAATATACATAATTTCCGTGTACTATTGAAAAAATACACTCTGCTGTTGGAGACTTCGTCTTCTCACTGGTCACCTCTACTTACTTGCTCCACTCTCACCGTGTTGTAACTTTGGATTTATTGTAGGAGCCTACTACTTTCATCCGAAGACATTTCTACAACCGGAACACGGCAGCTACAGCAGACGCAGTCCAAACAGTTAACGTGCCTGTGGATTATATAATTAATTTGTAGCCGAGGACTTACACTTTATAACCAAGTAATCCTTTTTGTTGCTATAACTCGTCACTGTATTTTTGGTAATATATTGTGATTTAACACTCCACTGACTTGGATTATTACTTTTATACTTGGAATGTTAGTGAACTCTAATATTAGTCCCCTACAAATTAATTGGTGAGCCCGACGTGATACGAACACGCAGCCTTCTGATCTGGAGTCAGATTTCTTGAGTAATTTCAACCTGTTAGTTGACGTCAACAATAAAAAACTGATTGATAACAACACCCATCTAAAGATCCATGGAATTATCTCCAGCTATTCTGTCTATAATATCACTATTGAAAGACCAGCAGATTGCCCTTTTTCCTCCCTACTTCACCGTTTCCCTAAAATTCTTAAGCCGTCGTACAACATCGAGGATATCCCTCACACAGTTACTCACAAGATAGTTACTACGGGTCAACCAGTTCGTGCTCGTCCCCGTAGATTACCCCCGGACAAATTGGCAGCAGCCAAGGCAGAATTTGAACACATGATGCAGCTCGGCATCA